TCTGCCTCTGCACCACAGCCGCATCGGTGTTATGTGGTTTTAAGTCCTATAACTGCACTGTCCCTGTTCAAAATCAATTAAAGTCATTCTGTTCTGTGTTCCAGGTCAGTATCTGGTGTGGATGTGGACCCTGATCTGGTGCACATGGAAATGCAAGACACGAGTGGAGGTACAGTGATGTTCCATCTGCTCATTTATCATTTATATATTTATTCATGAGACTGTTAAGTCCTGCTCACACTAGCATGGTGAAACTTTAGACAGCAATGTATTTATTTTAATAGACTTGCTATGAGCACAGAGGCAAAGTAACTTTCTCATGGAGTTCTTTTGTTAACCTTGTCACACAAATTCACATAATTAACCAATTCACCATATTTAAACCAACCATAAGAAACCATTGAGGAAATGCAAGGGATCAGTAGTAGTCACTATGTCACCAAGCTTTAAATACCACCTTCCTTGCGGGAAAAACAAATGAATATGCCTCATCTGGTATGACCTGTTTTGTTACATTCACTGTTTCCAACCAAAATGAAATGTGGAAACGTGTTAAATTAATTTTCTTCCTCATTAAAATATTTTTGGAACAACAAATCATTGAAACCTGCATTGTTTACATCAATGTTTGCTAGCTAGCAGTCTTCTTTCTTGCCTTTGTTGGTGCATTGCTACATTAATTAATTAACAATGACGGCTTGCCAGGTCACACACGTTCTCGTATTACAGATAAACAGTACACTAAACAGTACACTGTAACCCCAAACAGCCAATGTACCAACTGTACTGAAGTAGCTGCCTTTGTCTCCCATGATCTAATCACAACGCACTACAATTCTATGCTGTGTTTTTTTAGTAATCTTCTTTAATGTTAAAGGTCCAGTGTGTAGGATTTAGTGACATCTAGCACTGTAATTACCTTGTTTCATCCTCCTTTTCTAAGCAGTAGGGAGAGCCTAGGGTACCCTATCTAGAGCCAGTGTTGGGTTTGTCCGTTCTGGGCTACTGTAGAAACATGGAGGCTCAGCATGTTGACCCATGGCATTTATAGAAAAAAAACGGCTCATTCAAAGGTACCAAAAACACAGATTCTAATTTTCAGGTGATTAAACACTAATGAAAACATACCTATCAATGTTATATACCATTCCTGCCAGCAGATCCTCCTAAATGTTACACACTAACCCTTTAAATAGTCTAAAGCTAAGTCGAGAAACTCAGGTATGTCACTGACATCTGATTTAGATCAATTCTGGAGACCAGAGCCACTACACGACATGCTGAGGTAGAGAATTCAAATGTCCTCTCCCATGGCAGTACTAGTCCTAGCATAGCCTGAAGTGTAAATGCAGTAATAGAAAAGATGAATGGCTGACCTTGCTGCAGATGGGGTGTGTTTCTGTGTGGGAAGGGGGTCAATGGAGAATTAATGGGTAAGTTAAGGAGGGATGTCAGGGGCCCCTGGGGCAACAACAGCAAGTCTGGATTATCATATCAGCTGAGTGACAGACAGACAGGTTAGTGCTTAACTCCCCACCAAGGGCCAAGAGGGTAATAGAAGTAGTGTGTATTTAAGATTGTGCAGGTTTATCAGTGTGTGGTTGTAAATGGATGTGTGTGTTCTGGACTTCACATACAGTGGGTCTCCCAACCCATAATCCCCCACTCAAATAAACCTGAGCAGGCAAAGTCAGAAAGTAATGACGGATAGTGAAGGGCAAAATGAAGGATATGTTTTCTTTGTATTTGCAGTGCCACACTCTATTTCTCCATAAACCTCCCCTCTAGAAAAATACAAACAGCTCTTAAATCCCTTGAGGAGACACGCAGTCCTTTAACCCACACACAGAAAGATGCTGCCTGCAATGTGAAAGCTGTCAGCCTAAACAAGGCTGCATGTTGTTTGTGGAGGGTGAACGGGAGAGGCTGTCTGTCTGGGCCAGCTGCCCAGGCACGAGAGCTCTTCCTGGGGCTAGGAAGCGCCACATGGTACCCCCTCCTCCTCCTTCTCCCCATTCTCCTCCCTTTTTCTCTCCTTGCTTCTGTGCCCGGATAGATAGATAGTCGAGGGGGGCTGGAGCGATCAGGCATGCCAAACCAATCTGTTCGCCCTGTGCCCCTCTGTCACACGTGGCATCACCAAGGTTAAACGGTGGCATGCTACAAAGAAGGACACAGAGTCTCGGGAGTCTCTGCAGAGGCGAGGAATTGAGGATGGGTTTGCGCTCAGGACCGCCGATTGACAAAAGGGACAGGACTCCAGAGAAATGGGGGTGGTCTATTGATGGATGAGCCATGTGCATAGGGAGGCTGGCAGGGAGTGTGTTTGTGTGTGTGTCATTAAGGGGGATTGATGTGCAGGAGTGCGTGAGTGTACCTTGTTCATGCATCGATACACACAAGCATGCACGCATTCACACACTTCACTGTTGCGAGTGTAGAGACAGACAGGGACATACATGTGTAAACAAACACACACACAGAACACATCTCCAGTACTCCCCATTGAACTGAAATTTAAATGATGGGCCCCATGCAGTCAGTATAATGTGATAAATTGTTCATCCTTGTTAATTTATTAATTAGCTCTTACAGTTTTATATATATATATATATATATATATATTCATATCATCTGAGCTGCACAAGTGCAGGTTTAGTTTAGTATGTGAGTGTGTTTGCAGGTGTGTGAGGACAGCAAGTAGCATGAAGAAGTGTGCCACAAGCTGCAATTGAACACTTAGCCCAATCTAATGGTTTTTTAATGAGTTCTACGCCGTATGCTGCTTCGATTAAATGTCCAGGCTTTTCAATAAATTAGCCAGTCCATTTGTTAGACCAGACACCTTTTGAACAAAGACAAAGCAGAGAGCGAAAAGTACAGAACCAATGAGGAGGATGAACTCAGTAATACGAAGTGGAGTTCATTGTGTCTGTTTATATTCTCTGGTACTCATGTTGTCACAAGGATATATAAAGATGCCAGTAGCAGCAGTGCAGGGCCCCCTTACCAGCCATTTCCCCCCAGGAACTTCATTTAAGAAGATTTAACTATGTTTAGAGAGATTATTGTACAATAGACTACTTTAAGTACCATTAAGGCAATGTTTAAGGGGCCAATCCCAAAAGCTGACAAGATATAGTTTTTTATAGTGTGTTGGGCGTGACAGAAGTACTCTACTAACTTTGCCAAAAGATACAAGAGTAAGCTGGCTGGAGTTAAAGTAAAGCACTTGAGATGTTAGCCTGTTGGACAAATACTAATGTTAGCATAACATTAATGTTAGTTTATCCAGCAAGCTAACATCAAGAATAAAACCGAAAACATTTTGTGTCATTTTAAAAGAACATTCAGTACAAAAATGAGAAGAAATTGGTTGATTTGGCCATCTTTTTAACTTCTTTCCAAACATAATGAGAATTAAATTTACTAACTAACCTGACCTTTCTTAAATATTTCTATTTTGATTTTATATAGCAATAACTGTATCTAACCAAAAGAATAATGTATATTCTTATACACCTGCAAAACCCATGACATACCCATCAACCTCAACTGTGCTTTGTGTTAAGTAGAGAGTAAGTGATAGCATTCCAACATGCTAAGTTAACATAGTGAACATGCTAATATTATATGCTAAACATCAACATATTTGCATTCCCACTGTGAGCATGTTAGCATGCTGATGTTAGCATTTAGCTTCACAGAGCTGCTAGCATGGCTGTAGATTCGTAGTAATCTTCCAGAAGTTTTATTTTCCGACTGTAGCTGAAGGATGATTGACAGAACTGGCAGTGGGAGGGATTGATAAAAGGAAAAGATGTGTTGTTGTGGTACATGTTTTTCTAAATCCCTCAGTCCATCAGCAGACCAAAATATCCCATTTGTATAAATATATCCTTCCTAAAAGATAGGATAAACCCTTTTCATTCCTCACACTCCATTAGCTTCCCTTGCTTTCCAATAAAATGTCAACTTTATGATATCACATAATCTAATAATCAGATTTCCATAAAAAATACTTTCTTACCCAAAAGAGGCTTAATCCCTATGTGGTTTGCAGTTCTGTGTTGTATGACAATTTTCAAACCACAGACACATATGTATGTAGTTAACAGATTCATGTCAAAGTCAATTTGGTTGCTTTTAAGTTGTATCTGTTCATATGTGGTGGCTTCATGGTGAGAGTTAAAGTCGGGGTGAACAAGTTAAGAATTGTAAGTAGTCAACTGAAGGTCATATTGTCATCCTAAAGCAGTAGATGTCTGCTGCAGCGACTCATTTCTGAACAAACAACCTCATGTGTACGGGTTCAGGCTTGGAGTGAATGTGTGTGCATTTTCTCTATTGCGAACTTGTCACCTCTGGGAGGAGAGTAACGGCTGAATTTCAGCAGGCAATGTTGCTGATGCAGCTGCTGGTTGAAATTCAATACTGGGTAAGCTTTGCAACAGGCACTAACCTCTCTGTGTGTCTCTGGGAGGATAATCCCTCCTGGCCATTTGGATGCTAGAACGGCTATATGTCTACAGGGGAGCTGTCATATCTTATAGAGTTCGGAAAATGATGTCTCAATTTTTTGTTCGCCCAGTTTTCTTCCATACTTGATCTCTACCTCTTCCTATTTTCTGTCTCTGTCTGTTGATCTATAGGCTTGTTTTATGGTTAACTGTCTAAAAGTAAATTAAGTTCCTCTCATTCTTGCTTCCTTTCTCTCTCACTGTTCCCATTTAACATAGCTTAAATGGTCGTATGAGGTCATCTACAGTAGTGTCTGGTTTATGTTTCAAAATATGAGCAAATCATTTGTGAGTCCTCATCCTGAAATGTCGTGGATATATTTTGAATATTTAAAGCCCTTACAAGGAACGTTCATTTTGTGTTGATTCTGACAGTCCCTGTGGACAAAAGCGTTAGTGTTTCCACCGCCTCGTTACCAAATCAGACCGGTGGCAGGCATTAAATAAGACTACATAAAAATAGCCAGTCTGTTCGCTAATGGTCTTGTTTGTTTATGACAAACTATATATGACCATATGGTTGATATGACTATAGAGGCACCAGTGTTGAATTGAGACGGTTTCATAACCAGTTAAAACCTCCTGTATTATGTTTAATGTAAAACTGAACATATGTTAACCTGTGCAAATGTATTTTTTACATTTTACCAACAGTAAGCATTGTTTGGCATTTGCTCCCATGTGTCTCTGCAGGTTACCTGTATGTCACCTGTCTCATCCAGAACTGTTCGGACAAAATGGTGACTGCTCAGTTCCTCGGAAAGATCGACCACAACTCGCTGCTGGTGCAGGACGACTACATATTTGTCAAGGTAAACAGCACCGCAACGGAGGAGGTGAAAGGGAGAGTGGTATATTTTTTTATTCTTTCTGTGAAATGGTTTATCTTCCTGTTTTCACATCGTTCATCTCACAAAGATTTTCAGATGTGTAAGTTCCTAAAAGTATCACATAGATTACAAGTATTATTTTTCTAATCAGAGATTTCCTTTGTTGAGTGTAGAGATATCTATGTTCATGCAGCAGCTGTAGGGGTATAACAACAGGTTGGGAGAAGTAGTAAATAATGGCTTTACTTTGTGTAAATGTAAAAGACACAGAGCAGCTACAGGATAGATACATTATATGCAGATCATATCTATTACAGTTGCAAGAAGCCTAAATAAAAATAACAGCATTTCAAAAACTAAAGTTGACAGTAAGTGAATATTCAGCAAGTCGACTACAGAAATAAAATAATAATAGTGATCAATCACATCCACAGCAATGTCAATACTGTAGAAAGCACCAGACAGTCAGTCAGCTCAGCGATCATTGCCCTAAAATATGACACAACAGAAAGAACTGCAGTTTTAACATTAACATTAGCTTAATATGTCAACCATACCTCTGGATGTTAAGGTAAACTGCCTTGTTGTTTGTTTCGATGCTGTATACCTTTTTAACGTTAGAGAGTTCAATTATCGAGTTCAACCAACCAAGACTCATTTCTGGTTATTTTTAAAATTCCACACAATAAAACTATTTCCCAGCAGCCATTTTGACATGAAATTGTCAGGGTAAACACATTGATAGTAATTAAGGTTCCATTCAGGTCAAACAGGTTGCTGCTATTGTGCATGTTGGCTCACTGGAAAGGCTCATCTACACTAAATGGAAGAGAGCTTTAATTAGTATCACTGGTAACAACTGTTTACCGTACTATTTCATGTCAAAATGGCTGCTGGGAAAAAGGTCTATTAATTCATATTTCACACAAACTCAAATATGACCCCTGTCAATTTCTTCACAAGGGGCCGCCACTGAATAATCGATTATAGAAAAGTACAGCTGCTAGCTACACATTTAAAAGTGCAGTATCCTAATTTACACTAACCCAAGCTGGAGGCAAGCAGCACTGTACTGTAAGTCACTATCTTTATGTACCATTAAATCAGGCAAATAAGATGCGAGGCAAGATTTTTTCCGAACATCTTAACTAACAATGCTTTTTAAAAAGAATGGGGCCATAATCATCTATTTCAAAAAGTGGTGGGGACATGTCCTCAGCATTACCCGTGTGCATTCCTATGTCAGATCTCATTCTAAAGTGTAGGGCAAAGTGTAGTAGGCAACAGCGTTACTCAAACTTTTGACACCGCGTACCAAACTTAAAAGATATTATAATCTCCAAGTAGCACCAAGTACCAGCTTTATTCCTAATAAGATGGTTATTTATTGTTATATTGTCTAATTTGGTGGAATAGGGGTACTCCTGGTCCACACTTTGTCTTCCTAATAGTTTGTTTGGAGCCACGATTGCAGTGTTTTTGAACCATTCAAATTCAACCATTTGACCTCCGCTCACTATCTTACCATCACATTTCAGCTAGTAACTAAACATGGATGTGTGTGTGCGTGCTACGTGTATGAACGTGACTACATAATAGGCTGATATTGAAACAAAATATTACAAGAAATTAAATTTCAGCTATAGTTTAGATTTTGTTGTATTTTGATAGTATCCATTGTAGCATGGAACCGTATCTTCCTAACCCTTGCCTGGTCCCTGGTCCCTTACCCTCCTTTCACTTGCTCTCATTTGTTAATTACACTAATGTCTCAGAATGAATATAGTCATTACTACTTTAATATTATGGCGCTGTACCTTTAAGTTTGTCTTTCTGAACCCCCCTGATATTTATAATCATCAGTATTTTTGTGCATATGTTGTATCTGTCAGTGTATCTATTCAGTTGTGGCTGTATTTGCACACACAACTGAGGCGGCTGTCTTTTTTACTGATAAACCCAGCTGCTCAGATAACATACAGTACTGTCGGCTTGAAATGGAAAAGAATTGCTACTCGGGATATTGTGCAGAATTAATCTAGCCTTGTCTATAATTGACTTGCCATGCAGTACAGTACTGTACACTCTGAGGAGGCCGAGAGCTGAACCCATTTGCATGTGATAACAGCAGAATATACATGAGCTGGTATAGTAGAGCAGAATCCCTATAGTGGGATAGAATAGTCGTATCTCGGGGATGCGTGTCTATATGCTCTGCATGTATATGAATGTGTGTAAATGTGTGTGCATGAGTGTTTATCAATGTGTGTGAAAGAATTAAGTCCTCATTAGGCAACAATAGGCTGATCCATTATCCTTCAGGGATTATTCTCCCAGTACTCCCAGTATTACCAACCCACTGATAACAGATGTACGGACAGGGGGTCATTTCTTCTGGTGATGGGTAAGGCAAATGTATTTATTTATTTATATATTTTTTTTAATTTTCAAACTTGTAGTCTTCAACCCCAGACGACACTGACTCAAGTGACAAAACGTGAAGACATTTACCAGACACTACACTGGAAACCGAATTTGATGTGTAAAAATTTATGGAGTTCTCCTTAAACCCATTAAAGTCCACAATGGGATTTTATCATTTCCTTTGCAGCACTATAATTACTAGCTGAGCTTAGCACAAATCTGTTAAAATGTTTTAGATCGGTAAAAGTATGAGGCTGCATCATAGGTTTTTCTCAACATTATTTTTTTCAGCTGTAGGGGTTGCTTTTTCATTTTCCCACATACTCTGAATTGTTACAATATAAATTCATTAAGAAAATTAATAATCTGTTGCTTTTTCTTGGTCCAGTATTTCCTTAGAGATGACCTTAGAGGCATTTTATAATGTATTCCTATGGGATAAAGTGAGTATAAATGTAGTATGTTTATAGAAATGGTTGAATCTCAAAAACTATGAGGAGTAATATCAAATGAATGGTACCATCAGAACAACTTCAATTTAAGTAATATGTGTAAATATGATATAATATGATATTTAAAATGTCATATGAATGTTATATATTTTATGGATTTTTTTGCGTCAGTCTATAACTTACTTTCTGTTACTTTTGGATTACCTCAACGCCAAATATGCAAATAAAGACAGGACATTTTAGTAAGAAGTATTAATATAAGATGTAACCTTAAAAAAGAAAACGGAAACCAACATTTTAGGCATCAAAAATGTCCTCTGCTCAGCGTACTGATAAAAACTGATAATGCTAATAATCCCCATTTTTACTAAATGTAATTGTAATCTGATTAGGCATTTTTTCTGTTACCTTTTTTATCCGGATTACGTAACTCAGTTACATGTAAATGGTAAATGGACCTGTACTTGTATAGCGCCTGTCTAGTCATCCGACCACTCAAAGCGCTTTTACACTACGTGCCACATTCACCCTTTCACACAGTCACAGCAAAGTCCATCGTATGAATGCATCAAACAGAATGTCAGGATGGCAAAGTCCATCAAACAGAAACTAACACATTCACACACATTCACACCCCGAGGCACAGCTTGGGAGCAATTCGGGGTTCAGTATCTTGCTCAAGGATACTTCAGTGGACAACCCAGTTACTCTGAGCCACAGCCGCCCTGAGTGTAACTCTGTTACTCCCCAAGCCCGGCCATGATAAATATGTCATGTCTGGACAATTTTCACCTCTAATAGAAACAATTCCGTGAGGATTTTCCTCAAAGCTCCAAAGTGTAACATTTGAGTTCACCTTGTTGAACCCCCATGTTTCTACAGTAGCCCAGAATGGACAAACCAAAAAGCTGTCTCTAGATAAGGCCGTCATTGTTTTTTGCCACCTTAGTTTCTCCTTTGCACTTAGAAGGGGACTGTGAAGCAAATAAGTTGCAGTCTGCAACTACACCAACTGAATGATACACACTGATCCTTTAATATTCTACATATAGTCGTTATTTATGGGTTGATTGGTTAATGAACACTTTTAAGTTAGTGTATTCCTGAACAGAGAATGCATACACATATATTTACCCGCACTTGCCAGGTCTTTATTTTAAGGGTGCTTATCACGTGTTAAAGCAGTATAGAAATATGCAGAGTCAGAGGTAAGAATGCAGTTTTAGCATTTTAGCACACACACACACACACACTTCATCTCCTCCCACTTCGCTAGCCGTTCTTTAGAAAGTGATTCCTTTTGAAAACACAGTCGATAGTGCTCCCTTCAGGGGCTCTTGCTTTTAAAAATGTCTTTCATTGTTTCATCACTTTTTCATCACTGTTCAGCATAAAAAAAGCCGTGCCGGGCTGCTCCTTTCAATCACAGACGATGGTTGTAATCACAGCTCAATCTGAGCACCAACGATAGAGGCTCAGATATCCGAGAGCCAGAGAGAGAAAAAAAAAAAGCTCTTCCCACAAAGCCCAAAATAGAAACGCTGAATACAAAGTTCTCCATCAGATTTTGAAAGTATGCAGCTCTAAAGGTTTAAACGCTGCTCACCTTACAAAAAGCCAAACGATGACAGGGACTGAGTTTCAGAAACTGGTATGTGGGCGCCTGAGCCCATCACTTGGGATATGACACATTCAAGTCCTGTTTAAGTCACTGTCAGTCACCAGCGCTGTCTCTCTCACCGAGCCTCCTTTGCTAAAACATCAGCTTCAGCTGTTTGGGTATTCTGGTTCAGTGCCTTGTGAGCTTTCTGATCCGCTCTCTCAGCAGGGGGGCAACATGATTCAGCCTTTTAGCCATAAGTCCTAGTTTGTGAGGTGGATGCCAAGGTCTGTGCAGCAGGGGGAGGTTGTTTTTTTTTCTTTTGCATTTACCTTTCAGCACGGTGTTAGTCAGCAACAGCAGATGGCGAACTCTGCACCTTAACTCAGGGACTACACAATGGTGGATGATGACTACCTCATGTTGTTAGAAGAAGTCTTTTGTTTTATTTTGTCTTCTGGAAAAAAATATTTAAATGTCCTTCTCTAAATTGCATTTTCCAGAATAAAAGCTCTACAGGCACTACCTCTACAGTCAATTTTGTCTGACCTTAAAGTTTCAAACTGGTGTTGTGTTTCATTTAAACTGACATAAACAAGGTTATAAAAACTCTTAATAAATGTGGTTAATAGAGCTTGAGATAGAGCTCCTGCTTTGTTCTTCAGTCTGACCTCTATTTTATTCTCAATGCATCAGTTCTTATCTCCTCTCCTCTTCCCTTGTCTCTCCTTTCTTTTTAGCTCTTCTACAATGAATCCACACTTTCTGAGGTGTAATTGTGTGTGTTTGAAAGATTAAGAGCAAAATAATCTATAAGAAGTAAAGATAAGACACAAACTCACACTTGAATAAAATTTTTTTTTTTATTTTTTGTTCATTTCCCAGGTCACCACAGGGAATCGCACCAAGCACTACGTGTCCTATCGGCGCAACGAGTTTGTCCAGATGAGGTTTCCCAAGTACGCCTTGCCAAAGGTAAAGCACAACTTCAGACTAAACTTCGGATGTTTGCCAATATACTGTCTTCACACAGACACACACACACAC